ATTGTAATACTCTGCAACTGAACATGCAAAGAAATGTGAAATGCACAACTGCAATACATAGTGCACATGTACAGGGATACTGCATGCATGACTTGGCTTCCTTGAACTGAATATGGACTTCTACATCAGTCAAAATACCCAGACACTTCTGTATGGGAATTTAGGCATGTGTGAGTCACTAGCAGAATGTTAGCCAGGCTCATATTTTTAATTTCTTCAGACATCTAAATGGCAGGGTATTGAGTACAGTTTTGTCTAGCAGTGTGCCCATAGGCACATCCATTCTTTTTATTGTTCAGTCACTAGTAATGTCCCTGTCACTATTCTGATTTTGTTCTGTTGGACAACCGATTTTGCTGGTCTCATTGCCAATGCTGTTGTTGTTGAGGATGTCATCACAATCTGTTTCTGCCATCAGATTAAGCCGTTCCGCCACACAGTGTGCCGTGAGTCTAGCTTCAGGGTCATGATCCCAGCATTCTGTAATGGTGTCACAGAAAAAATGCATTCCCTGCAGTGAACAAGACAGATGTAGGGTTAGCAACCTGGAGCCAGAGGAAAGGAAAGTAGTTGATGTATCAAAATAAGGAACATGTAAGATTACCTTGCTTCCGACTCTGATCTTTCTTCTCCCTGTCTGTAAATACTGTCCAGTTCTCAAGAAAGTAAAATTATATGTCTAGAATCTTCAATTTATTAATGACTTAGTAAGATAGCTTTTGGCCTAGTGTAATATTTCTTTGAGGTGACATCATTACAAATGATACTATTGCCTAATTAAGTATAGTGTTATAAATCTTGATTTTTTTTACAAATGCATTTCCAAAATGATAGCAGTTAAGAAAATATTAGAGTGATTAAAATATGACCTGATCTCACAATTGCCAAGAGATGGCAATGGCACTACCTTTCTGCTGTGGTGGGACTGTGTGCTCCTGTGAGGCACCTGCTGGTAGAGTCTCCCGTGTCAGACAGGCTTTTGCTGAGGAGCTAGATTAAATGTGCCAAAAAACTACAGGGCAGCAGCAGTAGTGGAGGTTGACACTGGTGGAAGGTCTGTCAGAGACAGTGGCATTGGTGCTGTGCTGATGCTTGTTAGTATTGCACAGAAGAAGGCAATGGTAAACCACTCCTGAAGTCTTTTACCATGAAAACCCTATGATGAAACAATACAAAATGAAACAGATGATGCCAGAAGATGAAATCCCTCAGGTTGGATGTCATTCAATGAGCTACTGGGACAGAGCAGAGGACAACTATGAGTAGCAGTGTGGATAATGACACAGCTGGACTCAAGCCTAAAGGATCTTCAGCTATTAACATACTCAGAGGCGAAAGGAAAGTCCAAAGCTGTACAAAACATAGGGTAGGAACATAGAATGTGAGAAGCTTGAATCAGAGAAGCTAAACATAATAAAAAAAAGAAATGGAACATATAAACATTAGAATACCTGAGGTGAGTGAATTAAAGTCGACAGGAATGGGACATTTCGAGTGAGGTAATTACAGTATTTTATTCAGGAAATGAAAATCTAAGAAGAAATGGGATGTCATTAATAGTAAGGAGAGATGTAGCAAAAACAGTCAAAGGATATAATGCAAATTCTGATCAAATAATATGACAAATTTATGCTCCAACTACAAAGGCATAAAAAGAAGAAATTGAAAGATTGTGTACTGGAGCCCAGGAGGAAAATGATCACACCAAAACAAGACTTGTTAATCATAGGTGATTGGAATGCAAAAATAGGAAACAGCAGAATCAAAGTTTGTAGAAAAATTTGACCCAGGATCAAGAAATGAAGCAGGAGAACAACTGATTGAATTTTGCAAGGCCAACAGTTCATTCATCGTGAACACAATCTTCAAACAATGAAAGAAGCAAGTGTATACAAGGACATCGCCTGATGGTAAATACAGATTAAGTCTTCCTTATCTGTAATGCTTGGGACCAGAAGGCAGTGCAAAATTATTGTTTATGTTACTTTTAAATTCTACAGAGATGGTCTTCAGGTTGTATTTCAGCATGATAGTTGGTTTGGTGTTTGTCAGTGTTGGATTTGGATTTTTCCCCCAGATTTTGGAATATTTGCATATATATAACGAGAGATCTTTGAGATAGGACTCGTCTAAACATAATCCTGAAGATAATTTTATACACACTATAAATACTTTTTCCATGAAACAAAGTCTATATACATTAAACCATCAGAAAGCAAAAGGGTCAGTATATCAGCCACCCATGAAAAACATTTTGGATTTTGAAACATTTTGGATTTCATAATTCTGGATAAGGGATTCTTGACCTGTATAGAAATCAAATAGACTACATCACTGGAAGCAGAAAATGAAGATTCTCCATTCTCCTTGCAAAAACAAGACGAAGAGCAAATTATGGTAAAGACCATGATTTGACACTTAAAATTTTTGAGTAATGCTAAAGAACACTAAACCAACCATCATGCTGAAATAACAACCTGAAGACCACCCTTGTAGAATTTAAAGATAATGTAAACAATAAATTTGCATCATCTTATGACAGAGTCAGAAGAACTCTGGACTGAGGCCAGGGACATTGGCAGAAGGAATGCAAAAAGACACTATCTGCAGACAAAAATAAAGAGAAGCCTCAATAGATGACAGGTGAAACTCTAAGCAGTTAAGACAGACAAGAAGCAAACATTAAAGGTGATAGAAATAGAGTTAGAACCATCAATGCAACTGTTCAGCAACCTGTGCACAGGGACAAGGATAAATACTATAAGAATCAATGCAGAGAAACAGAAGCTGAAAACAAACAAAAAATGGAAGAACAAGAAACCTCTTCCACAAGATCTGAGAAATCAAAGGGAAATTTAAACCAAGAGTGAGGATGCTCTATGACTAGCAGGGACACAGATTACATGACTAAGTAAAAATAAAAAAGATGATGGAAACAAAACACTGAATAACTATATAAAAGAGATGAAAGTATGACAAGTATGACACTCATTCAAGGAAGAGCCATCTGAAGATGAACCTCCACTTTTAGAAAGTGAAATGGAAGCTACAGTCAGAACACTTGAGAAAAATAAATAATCAGAACAGATGGCATACCAATAGTGCTGTCTCAATCTACAGAGACAGAATCTACCCTAGGTCTAACTAAAATCTGTCAAGAAATATCGGGGGGGAGGGGAGGAGAGAGAATGGTCCACAAACTGGAAACTCAATATACATTCCAGTCTCCATGAAAGGGGACACCAGGGATTGCAGTAACCAAAGAACCATTTCATAAGTTTTCCCATGCAAACAAAGTGATGCTTAAAATTCTACAAGTGTTTGACCATATAGGGAACAAGAAATGCTAGATGTCCAAGCTGAGTTCAGGAAAGGAAAAGGCACTAGGAATCATACTGCAAACATACTTTGAATAATGAAGTGCACCAAAGAACTTCAGAAGAAAATCAGACTCTGGTTTATAGGTTATAGCAAAGCCTTTGATTATCTTGATCATAAAAAACTATGGATTGCTCTTAGATAACTTGGTGTACCACATTTGATTGGCCTATTGCATAACCTGTACTCAAGAGACTACCCTCAGGACAGAATATAGGGAAACTGAATGGTTTTCAGTTAGGAAGGGGGACAGGCAAGGCAATATTTTATCACCATATATATGGTGAACATATATGTAAAGGAGGATTAGACTCAGAGGAAGGAGATCTGAAAATTGGAGGAAGGATCATCAACCATATAAGGTATATAAATGACACCTTACTACTAGCAGAAAATAGCAAGCAAAGACTTGTCATGATTACTGAAGAAAGTGCAAAGGCAGGTTTACTGTTGAGCATTAAAAAACAAGAATAATGGCCACATATGATTTACATAATTTTAAAGTAGACAGTAAAGTCCCTATGGCATAATTCAAAGACAGCCATGTTAGTCTGGAATATCAGTATGCAAAGGGATATTATTGTAGCATCTTTGAGAGTAACTGAAAGAAAGAAAAAAGTTGGTAGCATAAGATGGCATCAGATGAAGTGGACTTTGTCTACAAAAGCTTATGTTACCAACTTCTTTCTCTCAGTCTCAAAGGTGCTACAAGATTCCTTTGCACTATGGCATACGTTTTGGTAGACTAGAATCCAGTTCACCAGATGTGTGACATGTTATGCTGAGCTGGCAGATATATATATACAAGTAACATGGCTGGGTCACAGGGAATTGTGAATACTGAAGGTAGGAGAGAAATTAAATGAAAAAAGTACAAACAGAGATGCTTAAATAGATGTAGAGTCATTTACAGTGATCCTTTCCAGGAGTTTGTGTTATCAGCAGTCGTCACTCAAATGATTCTGCATTAAATTTCAGCTTTCAGGAATTATCAGGAATTATATTTTGCAGCAACAACAAATAGTTACCCTCTGGAATTTCCTTGCAAGAGGCCCTGCAAACCCCTCTGCTCCTGCATTTTGATTAAAATATTCCCAAACCTACCATTTGTGTTCATAACAGGAGTGGATATTTTGTTTTAATAAGTACAAGGTTTACACTGTGTCTTTCAACACTGTAACAATAAAATAAGTCCATATTAAAAACAGAAATAAAATACCCATGAAAACTGCAGAGGGTAGAACAGCAACTGACTGGATCAGAAATATTTTTTAAAAGGTGTGTTTGTGTACGTAGAGGAAGCATGAGTCATTGGTGATCTAGACCAGAATAATGTGGCTATTGGCTTTATTGTACCCTGATGGGCCAGCAGCCCCCTCATTGGCAGTGGAAAAGCCTGCCAAAATTACTGTTTCAAGGGTAATGGGAGGATTTGGGGGAAAGATTGAGGGAGACTTTGGTTCTGCAGGATCAAAGGTACCCCAAAATGGATATACCTCCAAACAGGGTAGAGGACTGTAACAGAACTAGAGCTGGAGTTATTAATTTCTTTTTTTGATTTGTGATAACTAAATTAAGAGTATTAAAATCACTTATGTCATAAGCTACTATACAGAGGAAGAGCCAGTGTGGTGTAGTGGTTTGAGCAATGGACTATTGACTCTGGAGACCAGGGTTTGACTCCCTGCTTAGCCATGGAAACCCACTGGGCAAGTCTCGCACACACACTGTCTCAGAGGAAGGCAAAGGCAAAGCTAATCTGAACAAACTTTGCCAAGAAAACCCTGTGATAGGGCCGCCTTAGGGTTGTCATGAACTACTTGAATGCACATAGCAAGAGCTACTATGCAAGGTAGAGAGAAACAAAATAAGTATGACTGTTTGGATTTGTAGCTGCATTGCTTCTCCAGGTGAATCTACAACACAGGTGTTAGACGATAAAGGATGGTTAAAGCCATGAAACCCCCATCTGCACACTTCACATCAAGCTTGCTATTATAGAGTGATATATCACGGCAATGCCTACATTAATACCACTGCAAAGTTTTCTCTGAAGATGCCAGCCACAGATGCTGGCGAAACGTCAGAAAGAAACTCTTCTAGAACATGGCCACACAGCCCGAAAAAGCCCTCAAAAAACCACTGCAAATAGTTTTGCAGCCTAAAATGTGGAAATTACTTCTGTCTGTAATGTCATTATGGCAGGTGTAGGTCACTTTCCAGAGGGGTCACAACAACTTACTGATGAGCAGCACCATCACCTCAGTTCCTGCCGCCACCACAATTAAGTAACAATGTTGTTGAGACTTTCTGGTGCTGAAAGCTTCAGAACGCCTTCCCATACCACAAAGCTTCAACATACACCATCTCTTTCCCTTCTCCTGTTGCTAGCACTGATTTTTGGTTCTGCAGTTCTATAACCAGTGAGAGACGCAAAAGTTGCTCCCTTGGGGGTTGCATACTGCCCTCCCCCCTCCAGATCCTGCTTTTTGGCTTACCTGATGTACCAGCCAGTTACTTGGTATCTCAGGACGCCCTCGACCATGCAATACAATATCTCTCATGACTTCCATGCACGGCTGCTCCCGGATCTTTGCTCCAAATGGTAGCTCATAACTCTTAACCTCTGTAAGAAAGCATTGTAGATACACATCAGAGGCAAAATACATATTCGCTATCTGCTGGTTGGTTCATTAGATAATGAAACAGCAGAAGCAAGCTGTGAACTACAAGGCAGCGGGAGACCCAACATAAAAACAATTACGGACAAAAGCAGCAGTATTAGAAGGATGTGGTGGAATCACATCCTCATAATTGTCATCAGTATTTGCTTCTGAGTCAGTATTTTCTAACTTAAGTCCTGCTTACCCCAATGCTGCACAACTCCAGCCCTTCATCATCCCTACTTAGATGTGTTGGGAACTGAATGTGGGACCTTTTCTGTTTTAAATAGCTGCTCTACCACTGAGCCTAGAGCCTTTTCCCAAAGTCCGGAGTTAGAATCAGCACCACCAACCAAAAGCATATTGGTTATTATTCTTTAGCAGCAAGCATGGTAATATTTCATGCTGGGAAGAAACATAGAGAAGTCCTTAAAAATCATCATTGTTGACATCATCAATGGAGTATACATTCCTGACATTCCAAATAATTACTTCAGGCATCATGGTACTTTCTGATATTTAGTATTATATAAAATGAGGAGCAATTTCTTAGTAATGTTTCTTTTAATATAATGGTACTGTAGCAGACTGGTTCAAAATAAATGGGACTTATTCCATTTGGGTCATGCATTCAGATTCGAGGGCCATCAGTGATGGTATGGGAGTTAGTGGCCACACACACACACAATCCTGATAAAACCAATCTCTATGAATATAAAGATACCTGGGGGGGTGAGTAGAAAGTAAAATTGGTGGAAGTGAGAATCTGGAAAAAGTGGCAGAGGGTCAAATAACCTTTGGGGACTGCATTGACCACCTGGAAGGCCATGAGTTCTGCACCCCCGTAGTAAGGTTTGTTCATTCTCTTCCCACAGTAACTTGTAGAAATAGCCAGCTTTGCATTGTCAGAGGGGGTTTGAATTTAAGTCCCATCTGACCTAAACAATAAGGCTAGTAGTCCTGGAGGATGGGAGTTGCATCCTAATAATATTTAGAAGGCAGACACAGGCTTCCCCAAGGATGTGTAAAGAAGCAGGACTCAGAAGACAGATACTGCTGAGAGAATCTTACCTCCTATAACATCACACCTGGAGGCTATCTCCCATAAAACCAAAGCCATTGAATAGACATCCATCTGTTTGAAGGACTCCAGATCTTCAAGATTCACTCTGGATTCCAAGACTTCAGGAGCCATATATCTGGCAGTGCCCACCTAGTTGTGAATTGAGTAGATTTCAGAAGATTTGTGTGCATGAGAGAGAAACCATGTTGCTTCCAAATTAAAAGGAGGCTACAGTGCATTACAACATTTTTGATATAAATAGGACTTTATATTACAGTTTATTTCCATTAAAGACTTTGGAGATAAGTGTTTGTTTTTTTTAAGTTTCCAGGAAAACTAGAATGGCCTCATTTCTGCTGTCCTTCCATGAGCAGGCATAACCTTTTTATTCTGACAGGTTTTTAATACAATTAAAAAGAAGAAGAGGAGGATGGAGATGCTGTATTTTTTTTTAAACAGAACTGTTTTTAATGGCCTTTTCATCTTTTAAATTGCATTTTATTCTTTTAACTAGAGATTTGTATTCTACTTTAATGGGCATGTTTAGTATGTTTTTAACTGTATTGCTTTTTTAAACTGTAAGCAGTTTTGAGTCCCAATTTTGGGAGGAAAGTGGGTATAAATAATAATAATAATAAATCACCACCACCCACCACCACCATCTTGAGAGTAGAATCAGTGGTGTCATCTCCTCCTTTGCACCATGTGTGAATGGGGGTGAGTAAGGCCTTTCCACTTTGTATCACGCAAAATTAACTGCTTTGCTGGCTTCATTCTACAGTACTCACCTGTCCACTATTAGCAAACTCTTCCACTGTTAAGGAAGGATCCAGGCGCAAAGCAATTCCAAAATCACAGAGCACGCATTCCTGGCCATTCTTCATTAGGATGTTTGTGCTTTTGATATCCCGATGGGCAATGGGGATCTTTGGACAGCCACAAGCGGTATAGTCGCTGTGCAAGTGGGCCACACCATTCACGAGGGACCCGGCTATCTTTTGCAAGGCCCTCCAGCTCAGAATATTCCTGGACAAATAATCCTTGAGGTTGCCCTGACCGTGATAGGCCGTGATGAGCCAATATTCTTTCTGAAGGCCCAAGTGTCTCTCCTCTGCTGTGAGGAACTGAAGAATGCTGTCATGCTTAAGGTTGGCATCACTGAAGATACGACTTTCATTTCTCCACGAAGCATACTCCTCACAAGGAAAAATCTTGACTGCCACTGTCTCATACTGCTCACCTGAAGAGGCAGACTTCAGTTTTGCTCTCCATACTTCTGCAAACTGCCCTTTCCCCACTCTCTCATCAAGCTCGATGGGCAAGAGTTCAGTGCTATGGTTGATATTGTTGGCACAAGCATGTATGGCAAGGCGGTTGTCTACACTGACAGACGGCATCTCTTCATAGCCAATGGCTCTGCTTGGTTCAGGCAGAGTGTGGTGCTGTGTTTGTTTCTGGGGCCATTCTTTGGATCTCCTTCTCTGTCGATGGGTTCGGCAGAGGTAAAATATCGCTATTATCATGATGGCAACAAGCAGTGGGGGCAACAGGCTGATGGCTGCCACAGGAATTATCTCCTTGCTTTGTAACATGGAATATCCTATGGTGAAGGAAGAGGTGGGAAAAGAATAAATTACAAGATTGTTTCTGCATATGGATATGAGTTAACATAAAGGGCTTTTTTGTGTGTGATCTCATTATGACAAGAATGCACTCGTATAGAGTCATACGTGTAAATATATTTAATATTTGCAGTTATATAGATCAAAGATCTGCAGGTCTGAGGTAAGTCAGTATGGCATGTTTTTGTATTGGAACACCTTTTAATATATAAATAATCCTGCTCACTTTTATTTGTAGGCTGAGAAAACACGTTCTTGGTCTTTAGAATTCAGGTTTCTTTTCCTTGGATTTCTTAAAATATTGCTTAATTTTTTTTAAAAAAAGAAAAGCCTGCCAAAGCCATTCCAATGCAATCTATTATTGCCCTTTGCAGATAGAGGGCAAGGGATAACCATTGCTGCAATTAATAAACCTGGAATTCTCCGTGGTTTATTATGTGCAATTTTTACTTTCACCCAGTGATGGGGAAGAAAAACCTACTGAAACTAGAAATTTGGGCAATGAATCTTTTCCAGGCTCTATGATTGCTCAGGACAAGAGCCAGGAAGTAGTAAAAACACTTCTCAGCAGTTCATGAGGGAATAGGCAATTCCTTCCTCACAACAGGACAAGCCAATATCACTACAAGAAAGCCAAGCGTAAGCATCCGTATAGCTGCACTTTACCCATGTTCTCACACTGGCCAGCCACCAGAAGCCAATGGAAAAGACCCCAGCAGCACATGAATGCAATAAACGGGTGTCACTAGGGAGGTGCGGGGGGTATGGGCTGCACCAGGTGACACTTCAAGTGGGGTGTCATCCGGTGCACTGGTGGGAAGGGGTGCTCTCTGCTAACCAGGTGGGAAAGTGAGTCTCTTCCCTTTGCCACCTGGACAGCAGATCCTCCAGACGCTGCAGGGTGACAGGAGCAGCCCATCTGCACCAACAGCCACTTTTGGGAAAGGACTGCTTTTTGCATCTGGTGGCTCTGCTGGCTAAGTGGGAAAGGGCCAATGCAGACTGGCTTAAAGGGCCGGCATGGGGGTGGAGTTGGGGCAGGGAGTCAAGGTACCCCGCTGGGTGCAAAAGGGGTGCAAAAGAGCCGCCGCGGTGGCTCTAAGGGCAGCTTTTTGCCACCCAAAAAAGGAGCGACATTTGCCACTCTTTTTGGAGCAGCAAAAAGGAGGATCGGGGCTGCTGCATGTGGTTGCTGCAGCCCCAATCTGGCACTCCCAGGGGTAGTACATCTGCATTGGCCCAAAGTCTCCTCTGTCCGGCCTGGCCAACAGTAGATCTGGAGAAACTGTTGGACCGCTGGAGCAGCCCACTACCACCAGTGGCCTCTGACTATTGAAAAGAAGAGGG